TGTATCCAATTAGCGGCATGTGCGGCTAATCAAATTTTACCTATGAATCCAAATCTACCTGCAGATATATTTACATCATGCCTTACTACACCCATAAAAATTGCAATACGCTGGTAAGAACGTTTGACGTAAGCAAAAAATGTCTATGTATTCAATATATTTATATTTTCTATAAATATATACATATATATATATGTATAAATATATATATAATACATATTTTTTCTTTTATAGGTTTGCCATGCAGCCTACATCCAAATTGATTCCCAATATATCGCTTGATCTTATTGACAAGTAATATATCAAATTATTAAATTTCGTCGTTCTATAATCTTTATATATGCATGCATGTACATGTTTTAGAATTCCTGGACAATTGACTGATAGAAGAACGATGCTAGGCGAACTTAATTGGATATTTACCGCCATTACCGACACGATAGCATGGAATACCTTACCAAGAGGTAAAAGATTTGAGCTACAACAGGGTTGTTAGCGGTCAGGGAAATCAAGAAAAACCAGGAAAAGTCAGTGAAATTAAAAAGTGATCAGGGAGAACCGGGAAAAGTCAGAGAAATTATTATCAAGGAATTTATTAACTTAAAATAAAATAAAATTGCTGTGAAATTTTAGTTTTTAAACTTCTTTAAAAATTATGAAACAATTTTTTAAATTTTTTAAAGAAGAATGCAAACATTTTTTTATTTTTAATTTTGCAATGAGCAATTTGCAGAAAACCATTAACATTGTTAAAAAGAAAAAAAATTTAACTTTGCAAAAGTCAAAATATGTATGTATTAATGATGAATATTTCATAATTTATTTCTAATTGAAATTAATTAAAATAATAATTAGAACGTACAGTATTTTAATAAAATGATTAATGCCTGTATTAGTTAGGCCTCATATTTAAGGAAGCTTGAAATATAAAGTCTAATTATGAATATGGACAAAAATCTCAATAAACAATGTGCAAAACAAAAAAAAAGATACATGTATATCCGCCGTTTTCTATAATTTATTTGTTTTTTAACTCGTCACGCATCATATGTTTCGCTTCAAAAAGTGATCGGAAAAATTGGGAAAAGTCAGGGAAATTTTTTTTTCTTTTTTGCTAACAATCCTGTAAAAGTTTCATCGACGCAAAATAAAAATATAATTATAATAATTATAAAAATGTATATAGATTTGTTTCAAAGGTTATTTAGACAAGATCTATTAGTTGCCAGTCTGTTCAGAAATTTCTTGTTAGCTGAGAGGATACTTCGTTCTTACGATTGTACGCCAGTTTCTTCCCCGAAATTGCCGCCGACTTATCAGGTAAAAAAAAATTGATTTATTATAATATATATCTATACAAAGAAATTTCTTTACTAAAACTTTGTTTATGTGTGCCAAACTTTTTGATCATTCTTTGCTCTTAAATATATAGAAAGCAAAATCTTCCCATTTTTTTAGCACCGTATGTGGCAAGCTTGGGATATGGCGCTTGACCTATGCTTGGCACAATTGCCAATGGTTTTGGAAAATGAAGATCGATACGTGCATTCATCATTTTTTGAAGATCAACTCACAGCTTTTCAAGTATGGCTTAATTTAGGATCAAAAAATCGTAGTCCACCTGAACAACTTCCAATTGTCCTCCAAGTGCTATTGAGTCAAGTTCACAGACTAAGAGCGTTAGAGCTGTTAGGGCGTTTTCTTGATCTCGGTCCGTGGGCTGTGAATCTAGCACTTAGCGTCGGCATCTTTCCATATGTTTTAAAATTATTGCAAAGCAACGCCAGAGAACTTCGACCGCTGCTCGTTTTTATATGGGCAAAAATTCTAGCGGTAGACAATGTGAGTTCTACACTTGCGCTTATTATCCATATAATATTATACTGTTATACTTTATATATATAAATTCTAATTTTAGATATGATTCTGAATTGCAGACTTGCCAAGCAGATCTTGTACGCGATGGTGGTCATAAATATTTCTTGTCTGTGCTGCAGGATACTTCTATCCCGGTAGTTTATATGTTATGTTTAATTTTATCCCCGAACCACACTTGAATTATAATGGCTAAAGTTTCTCGTAACGAAAGTATGTTTGATAATTATTTCAGAGTGAACACAGGACATTAGCCGCGTTTGTGTTGGCCAGTATCGTAAACGATTACCGGCCGGGTCAAGTGGCTACAAATCAAGGCAGTCTCGTTTCAATATGCTTAGAACAATTAGGAGATACAAATTCTTTGTTACGGCAATGGCTTTGCTTGTGCTTAGCGCGACTTTGGCATAATTTCGATAAAGCAAGATGGTGTGGCGTCAGGGACATTGCTCATGAAAAATTGTTTACCTTATTAAAGGATCCTGTTCCAGAGGTTATTTGACTTGTTTATATATACATAAACAATTAGTTCACTATATATGTAGTTCACTATATATACAAGCGCGCGCGCGCGCGCACGCGCACACACACACACTCACACACACTCACACGCGCGTGCGCGCGCACAGATATTTGCAAATTACTGAATTAAACGCGTGTAAGAAATTTTATTTTATAACGCCATTTTACAAAGCAAGAAAGGAATTTATATATATATATTTTTTTTAATTTTTAATATGAATTTAATATGAATTTAATATGAATTTATGATTGTGATAAAGAAGGAACAGAAAGCTTATGACACATCTTTATTATAGCGTAATATATCATAAACATTAATTCCTAAAATTTTAAGGAAATGTTTGATACAGGTTCGGGCAGCTAGCGTGTATGCATTGGGCACATTTATAAACAGCGTTACAACCAGAAGCGAGCACGCGAATAATATCGATCAAATTATCGCTATGACACTTATTAATACAGTTTCTCACGATATGTGTCCATTAGTTAGAAAAGTAAGTTAGATTGTGATTTGGAATTGGTAAACATTGGCAAATTGCTGACAAATTATGAAATTGTCTATGCAGGAATTAGTTGTGGCTCTACAATGGATGGTACTACATTTTGAAAATTCCTTCGTTACACTAGCCATGGCCGAGGAGAATAGTCGAAAGGATCTTGTTGTAGAAACTTTATCCCCATTCAGCGGTATGAGACGCATTAGCTCGCGCGATAGATTGAAAATGTTGTCACCCAATAATACATACACCATAGATACGACCGATGGATTTGGATCACAGGATCGCATCAAAAGAGTATCATCTTCATCGTCTATTAGCAGTCTAGGTAAGGAATGCCGAGAGATTTTTGGGAAAAATATCAAGTCAATTAATACCTTCTGTCTGAACACTGAATCGAATAGTTACTTGTATTGATTCTTTCGTGTGTCAGGTAATAATTGGGAGTTCGTGAGGAAACCTTGCGAGTCACTTGGTAATAATGATTAAAAGTTTCGTTGCATGCATTATACAGTTTATGCTTTTTATTTTTGCAATTGTGCAATTTTCACCGATAAAGTGCTTTTTGCATAGGCTTTGTATAATAGCAATATTTTTTCTTTTTTCATTCAAATAACTTTACGATAGCACGACATTTTATATGAATTTTATGAAATTGTTTATCGCAGGTCACAGTTCTCTTGGGAACTTACCGAGTCTTTCCTATGGTAGTGTGTATATGAAATTATGGCATGGATTGTGTAATCTCGACAATGATCCTCATCCAATAGTCGCTGCTATGTCTCAAAAAGTTACCAATCACATTCGTAATAAGGTATTAATATCTAAGGTGTATTTTAACATTTAAAGTTTAATTGTATAGTTTTGAATTGTATAGTTTAATTAATTGTATATTATTTTTTATTATTATTAATTAATTTTAATTTTATTATTATTATTAATTAATTGTATAGTTTAATTGTATTAATTATATATATTTTGTTATTTAAAAAATTTTAGGTGAAAGCATCTTCTACCCCTAAAGAGGTAATTGAAACAAAAATTTCCTCTTCATTATCTCTTCCGCCGTCTCCGTCAAATCGAACTGGTTATTTGAGGTCGGTTAAAATTTTTTTTTATACAAAAATTAATTTTATAATTTCAGTCTTATTGTAACAATTCCTTTTACATGCTTACTATAGTAAAGGGGAATCACCACCGGCTGTCAACTCTGGAACAGATTTGTTGCGTTCTTCGAGAGTTTTAACGCATGGTAGCCGTTCGAGAAAACCCATTCCTAATACAGTAAGAATCATTTGTTGATTTGTTTTTTTCTAATGTTAACTTTTTTAATGAATTCAAGTGATAACAAAATATTGGACAAATGTAAATTGTTTAAATTCTATTTTCCAATTTTATTTTTACAATAAATTAAAAAAATTATTTCATGTACTTAATAAAATATTGAAGGATTGGCCTATTTTATAATATCTTCTTATAATTTTAGATATCTGAAGAGGCAGACGAAGTACCCGGAGCTAAAACTCCATTGACTACCTCTCAATTTGTCGAATGGAGTTGCGCGCAGTTTGCTCAGCCGGTTAGTTTAGAAGACGAAATGGACGATGTAGAGAGCAGACCATATCTTGAACGAGAATGGCGGTAAGAACCATTTAAACTTTTATTCTCTAACGCTAGTTCTCTAATTTTAAAATAAATTCCCATTAAATTTTTGCTTTTATAATACGAAATATACATTATACATCGATTATGATCGCAGATTTATACGTAACGCAAGGCAAAAACAAGATGCAAAAGAGGAACAATTGCGTGCGTCACAAAATAAAATAGAATCGCAAGTGTATCATACGAGGTGTTCTCAATCACCTCAAGTTCTGGTTTTTCATCCATTTGAACCACATTTGGCCGTGGCATTGAAAGATTGTTTCGGGTATTTGATTTTCTCATCAATAACAAATATATGTTATTTAAAATACAATAGATAAGCATATAACATAAAGAGAAAGATTTTCTAATTAACACTTGTTAAAAATTGTTTCAGCATATGGGATTATCAAAATAGCACAAAGTTGACTTATTGTATGAGTTATGGAAACAAAGTAAAATCGCGCATCACAGCACTTGAATTCATCAACTCTCATGACTTAACTTTGCTGATGGCAGGTTCTGATGATGGTTCCGTACAAATCTGGAAGAATTATAGCGGTACGATAAGCCGTGATCCGATTCTACTTACAGCTTGGCAAGCATTGGCTGACGTGCAACCTGCAACCAAGACTTCTAGTGGTATGTTATAGAGAACACACATATTCGAGATTCTGTTATACATTTATTTCACCTATTGTAATCGCTATTTTAGATTTTAATAATTTAAATAATTTTTTACATCATTTTTCCTATATTGTGTACATTCTAAAAATAATCCTGTATATTTTTTCGTACTATACTATTAGTGAAGTATAATCAATAATATATTTGCAGTGACAGCGCGACTTGTTACAAAATGGGAACAAAAATCGCTTACTCTAGCAGTAACGGGCGACGTCCGCATTGTAAGACTCTGGGATGCAGAAACTGAATTGAAAAAGCAAGATATTCCAACAGGCGCTGATTGTTGTACCACATGCATCGACGTTGATGGCACAGGTTGTTTAAAAGAAAAATTTTTTTTCTTCGCTGTTAATAGTTTCTTAATAAAAAAATATACAATTCTCATTTAAATCCAATCACATTTAATTAGAACAGAACTTGTTTAACAAGTTTATCTCTCGTCTAACAGGAGATTCAAATATCAATTAATTGATAAACAAGATAGCAAGAGAGGAACAAAAAACTTTACAGTATAACATCTTAATGTTTAGTCAATTAATAAACAGAGATAAATTCTAGTATTTCATACAGAGACAGATTTGATTTTTTTTAAACTTATCAAACTAGAAAATTATCTAATACCTCGCAATTAACACAATCGGTACTAAGGTCCGTAGGAAAAAGGGGCGAGCAACAGCTGATGTTCTAACTTTAGACAGATGAGTAACTTCCGAAATAAGTGCCATCTCTATCGATTAGTTTAATGCAATTACTAACCGATCGATAATATAGTTTCATATATAGTTTCTCAACATTCGCGCATTACATTTTTTGGTTTATATATTACTATCATTTCTTGTTGCATCTTGTTGCATCTTGTTGCAATATGAAATGAACATCATGTTAAAATTTGTTCTGCAATATTTTATAGGTGCAATAATGGCACTTGGCTGCGGCGACGGATCGGTTCGACTTTTAGATCGGAGATTGCCTTCGACAGAAGCAAGAGTGATGACTTGGAGGGAACACACTGCTTGGGTGTCGGGTACATTTTTAAGGGAATCTGAGGGATCTGCACCGCAACTATTTACCGCATCTTCCACAGGTGACATAAAAATCTTTGATCTTAGGAAAAATTCCTCCGTGAGCACAATTCAAATAATACCGGGGATTGCGGCATTGACTGTGCACGAAATAGCTGATGTTTTCGCATGGTGAGTGCGATTAAATTTATCTTTTTAATATTAATAAATTTATAGCTAATCAAGCCATTAATATATATGTATAATTATTGTATATGTGTATTTTGTTAGCTGTAATTTCTTATATTGTTTTAATGATAATCTCCTATATTTTCTTTCTTGGATTAGAGAAAGATGAAAAAGATTTTTGTTTTAGTGGCACCACAAGTCATTGTATCAGCATTTACAACATATTGGGACAACATCTCAATACGCTGAAATTTCACGAAGGATTTATGGGTACACGCCTCAGTCCAGTAAGCTGTCTGAATTTTCATCCATATCGCGTAACTTTAGCGGCTGGTTTTGTGGACAGTACCTTCACGGTATACGAATCACGCAGGTGACTATTAGAGATGGAACTCGTGTAAGATTCTTGTAAGATTTTGTAAATTTATAAAAGCACCTGACGTTCTTTTTTGCGTGCGCCTTTGCGTATTGCAATATTCGATGAAATTAAAGTTTTTTGTTTCCGGTGTTTCCGCGAGAGAATCACAGAATAACTATCTTACGTCGACGATAAAGCCTCCATTTTTCCGCCATTTCTTTTCGTATATTGACGATCTGCCTGCTATTTCATGCAAAATATAGAGAAAGAACGTAGTTGTAGCTTTTGTGATAAAAATGAGAGTGGGAGGGAGGGTTAACCAAAGTATTTCGAGACGACCAAAGAATAAGTTACTATTCTCTTGTATAAATATCATATCAAAATAGTTATAGATTGACTATCTTATATGATTTTTACGCACAAAATAGTAATTGTAGATAGAACTTTGGTGTCCCGGGAAATGCCGATGCATAAAAATATATGTATTGTGATAAAAAGTTAATGCGAGTTTGTGTAATCAAGAAAAAGATTAATGTTTAACGAAAACTTTACGATCCATACAGTGAGAGATAATCTCAACTATTGTGCCATGTAATGTGCTACTTCAGAATTAAGCTGTTTCCATACAGATATTGATGTAACTAAGATATTTTAATTACAGAATCAATCATACTGTGGCTGTGTAAATACGGCTCGCATTATATGCATTTTTATAAATTATGTGAGTGACAATTGTTAGAATATACGTTTCGCTATTGTTTGTCGATTCGATATATAACATTAATTTCCATTTTTAAATATTATTTCTATTATCGTTATTTCTATTATTCCTGATCAATAAAATAATGTAATTCCGTTTCGAACAATTTTAATCATTACTGATATCGTACAAACTTTGCTTAAGTATGTAAGTATAATTTTGTAAGTAGCAAGATTTGACAAAATATATTTGTTACGTCTATACGTTTATTCAAATGGCAATATTAGATATAAACCGTACATGTGTGTGTGTATGTGTGTGTGTGTGTGTGTGTGTGTGTGTGTGTGCGCGTGTGTGTGCGTGTGCGCGTGTGTGCGCGTGTGTGCGCGTGTGCGCGTGTGTGTGCGTGTGTGTGCGTGTGTGTGCGTGTGTGTGCGTGTGTGCGTGTGTGTGTGTGTGTGCGTGTGTGTGTGTGTGCGCGTGCGTGCGTGCAATATTTATACATCGTGATATTCATCGATCTAAATGCATGTATATATATATATATACAATTGCAGAAATTTCCAAATACCATTTACAAAACTGAATAAGCACGAAAATACAATAATAGAGGGAGAGAACGGACATGATATTTTTTTATATAAATGTGCAACCTCTGATTTATTATTTATATAAATTATTTTACAAGCATTTTTAATTGTAAATGTTTAATCATGTACCCATTGTGGCTACAACGAAGCATCGTGTCGTTGGAATTTTTATTTCTCAAGAGTCATTAGCAAAGCACTTTAATCACGTTATATACGTCCTGTTAAGAATTACTTAGTAAAGTATTTAGCCATTGCCATAACCCCTCCCTACAGTACATACATGATGAAATTATTAGTGATCGCAGTCACGCAATTGTATTGATACACAAATAACAATGATGTATTTTAAACAATATGATTATTTGGTAATTATGTTATATAGTAATTTGTTCTGTTCCATCCATGGTAAGATTTTTTCAGCAGAAGAACGTATAATGTGCTGATATTCGTGAAGATAGAGAAAGCAATCTAGCTTCTTTACGGTGCGTAATATAATATATGAACAAGTTATCGCTAAGCTAGAAATACAGTAGAGCGCGTTGATGTTATACGAGCAAAAAATTGATTATATTATTGTAACGATAGACACATTGTAAATATACATAAAATAGGATATTCTCGTCGTAGAAAGAGAGAGAGAGAGAGAGAGATTTTAGAGAGAGAGAGAGAGAGAGAGAGAGAGAGAGAGAGAGAGAGAGAGAGAGAGAGAGAGAGTGCATAGATAGCTCTTGTATCTCTCTTTATATCACACGATAGAGTTTTGTTATTGACACGCTGCATCTAGTCTAATCTACCATATGCGATAAAGCGACGAGAATTGATGAATTTGCGTGCGATATTATAAGAGTTCTACCAATCGCAGATTTGTACAGATACATAGATGCAATACGTAGTGCCAGATGTACTTAATCGCTCATTGTCGATTATGGAAATCTACGAATCTGAGAATCATGCGTTTCTGTGTCTCTCTCTCTCTCTCTCTCTCTCTCTCTCTCTCCCCTCCCTCCCTCCCCCTCCCTCTCTCTCTTTTTCTTTTTATCAAAACAATTTGTTTTTCTGTATTTCACTGCTAACGAATTTGGGCGTTAATATTATCCATTGTGTATATCCATTTATTTCGATAGACGCTATCTATTTTTAGTACGTACCACTGTGCCTGTTAGATTAGTCATTCAACGTCGTTTTTGTCAATAGCACAATTTTTATTCTTCGTTATTTCACTTATTTCAATTCTCAATATTGCACTTGGACGAAACAATAAGATTGAATAAGAGAACATGAAGAGAATAAATCATACTTTAGTCGAAATTTAACATTTTAAATTAAATTTATATTGCTGCGGAATACTAGTATGGAAAGAACATATCTTAGCCGAAGAGCTTAAGTTAATAGCATTTTTCTTCTTAAAGAAAGTGAAAAATAAGAAAAATTGATTTAAAAATTTTGCTATAAAAGTTATGTGTGTGTAACGGCTTTAAATAAATTTTAAAGTTTAAACTTTCGTAAGAGGAAGAGGAAGAGATTGGATGTGAAGACGAGATTAGAGTGGCAATTGAAATTTTGATATATCAGAGATTACTAATGCATTGTAGCCAAATAAAATTTACATTAATTATTCTTTCATTACAAATTGTAAAAATTCAAATTGTTCATTCCAATCTCGTACCTATATATCTGCGTATGATCTTCTCTTAAATTTTAGTTATATTTCATGAATGACTTAAAAAGACACGGATTTGAGAATGTATGGGTGGATGGGATTTCAAATAATCAATAACAAAATTATGAAAAAATTACAGATGATTTGAAATCATTTAAAGGTAACCCTACACGGTCAATAATACTGAGCAGTAATACTGACAGTATGCATAAATCTTTTTAGTATTTTTACCATCTACACGTCGATCAGTATTATGGATAATATATTTCATTTTAATTTTACGTACAATATTTATTGCATTGTGATATACTGTGACATGGATCTTAATAATACTGGATGCTTGAGAATCAAAATCTAGATCAGTATCTTACATCCCATCTATCAATCGCAGATTTCTAATAATACATAGATGCAATACGTAGAGCCAGATGTACTTAATCGCTCATTGTCGATTATGGAAATCATGCATTTCTGTCTCTCTCTCTCTCTCTCAATCCAATAATCAATATTAACCACACACGATCAATATATTTGTTAATACTACAGTATTATTGATCATGTCATCTTAAAAGTAATATGACAAATCTGATTTACTATCTGAGTTGTAAGTTATTTTAATAAATAATAGTATTTTTTAAATCTTCTAATAAAAATGTATGGAAATGTATTATATAAAAGAAATGACACAAAAATCTCAACTTTTTAATATAAGTACATTATGTATTCAAAATTATTTATGTAAAGTTATATTGCGATGAATTAGTTGTTCAGTAAATAAACAAAATATTTATTTATTTTATATCTTTGTAACTAATCAGTGAATCGTGATGAAAATTTTAAGTTATTTTAAATATTTAAAGTACTTATAACAAAAATTAGATTTTTATT